AGCATCGTAGGCTCAGGGGCCAAGTTCCAATTCTCACACTCACTAGGTTAGTGTACTTGACCAAGTTGTTTAATTTCATTAGAAAATTGGAATAACTAGACCTATTTATAAGGCAGTGATGATAATTAAATGTGATCTTGAACACACAGCACTTAGTATCATGCTCATTACATTAAATAATGTTCAACAACCTCCTTTATTTAACATCATTTAGTAAACATTTATTGAGATCTACTATATGTCAAGCATTTTACAATGTCAAGCCTGCACTTGCTGTATCAAGTTTCTAATAGAACATTTTGAAAAGACTGATGGTTATGTGGACAAAGAAGACTGTGATGGGGTGGTGATGCTGAAAACAGTATTAATAGGAAGTCACTAGGTGTCCCTGAAAAACCACAGTGATTTTCTCTTTAAAGTTTTACCTCAAATACTCTTAAAAGTCAGGCAGTGTTATAGTTGAGTTTTAACTGACTTGCTTTTTGGGATGAAATTAAGCTGAAATTTTATCCCCTGTACTATAGGCACAAAGGGCTTCCTAAGCTAATTAATGCTATAAACAAGATGGGAGGGAAATGTTGCCCGCATCAGAGAACAGTTATTTCCAAGCACTTTTGCCTATAATTTTCAAACAAGCATCGTAATTGCAAAGTAAGCAGAAGCCAGCATTGCTAAGCCTGGCTTTGTCCTCATTACTGTTTGCCATTATCTGCTCATTAATGCTGGTCCTGGAACTGGCAAAAGCCCACTATGCTCCATCCTAGCTGCTGTACTTAAATGCAATGGAGCAAAATGACATGCAAGGTTATAAACCACAGTAAATCAGACATCTGGATTAATGCAGTAGTTAAGACCAATGCCGGGCCTCCCCGGTGGCGCAGCGGTTGAGTGCTGGGTTGCGAAGCTGCCCGCGGCCTCTGCGGCGCCGGTTCGATCCCCGGCTGCTCCCCGGCCACCGGAGGAGGGTCCCACATGGCGTGCAGACCTCTCCTGCCGCCCGCTGCTCCCCTCAGCAGTGTACTTCGGTCCTTCTGCCTGCTCTGCTCCCCACTCTGGCTCTGGTGAATTCTCTCACCCTCCCATGCTTCTGACTGTACCCAGTGCATGTAAAAACAAAACAAACAAATAAAATAAATAAATAAAACATGCCTCTATAAAAAAAAAAAAAAAAAAAAAAAAGACCAATGCCTCTGGAGTCCACCTACATGAATTCAAGTCCAATTTGAACCCACCTTCTCCTATCAGATTCAGTCAGTTTGTTTTACTTCCTTGAGCCTTAAACTCCTCCTCTGTAGATATGAATCATAACATTACCTACCTAGCGTGACACCCAGGCTTAAAGAGATAATCTGTGTAAATCACTTAGCATAGTATTGGCCTACGATCAGCGCTTCAAATTTAGCTGCTGTATCATTTTTTTGTCATGATCATCAATATTCTAACCATCAAATAGAAGTACACAAAGACCTATAGTCTGACAGAAATTTTAAAATTTAAAAAGATTTTTGGAAGGAAGAAAGGTAGTAAAAGGTAAAAAGAAATATCCATGTTCAACTTCATTTTTCAAAACTTCACTAGTATATTCAAAGTCTCATATTTCCCTACAAATATTAAAAGAAATTTCAAGAGAATTGTACTATCACTTTATATCAGCAGGCTACAATTTTTAGTAAATTAGTGAAATATACCAGAAAGAATTGTTCGCATCTAGGTTGCCAAAAGGCCAATTTTTATTTTACTTATTTAGCCAAGGGAGGCAGGGGGAAAAGAGTTGTATTTCTCAAAATCAGGTTTATTGATTCTGTTTTAAGTACATTATCAAGCTCAGATGTGTAAGTCACCAACTGCTTCATACCAGCTGACTCAGTGAGCAAACCAAGATCCAAGGGATTTCATTTTCACCTTAGAAAGTCAATTTCCAAAGTCAAGGTAATTTTCTTAAGCTTTCATGCTCTATTTTCCTTTAACTAAAACTGAGGTATCACAGTATTAATTTACCAGTAGGAAAAATGTTTGATATTATCTATTTGCTAAAGCATGTTTCTTAGCTTTTAATCACTCCACCTCAGAAAAAACCTCCAACTTCAGTTTGAGATGACAAAATTCTGCAATTAAATGTAGTTAATTTTTAATCGGGTCATTTTGTCTTTTTAAGCAGAACATAGTTTCACATTTCTGAAGCAAATTTCAAAAGACCCACAGCACAACTTTCTGTTTTGCTTCATCTTGCTTAAAGCGACAGTTGGATTTAGAGAATTCCTCAGTTACAAGAGCTGGTTTTCCCTCCAGGAGAATATTCTATTTGCTCTTCTCCCACCATCTTCTCCCAAGTGAAGTTACCTTCTTCTTTGAGCAGCACATCTAACACTTGAAAAATTTCATTTCTTGATGTTCTTTCTAAAATGATTTGGGACCTGGGAATTTTCACTCTTGTGCTTGACAAATAATAATTGTTGATTGAGAAATAGGAGGAAGCTGAAAGTACTTCCTGTAAAATGATTTAAAATGTGTAGCCGCTGCACTGTGATATACTGTGGCAGAATAACAGTCTTTTTATGAAAAGGCAATTCAGAGTCAACTGTGTGAGGAAGCGATACCTAGCCCTCCCCAAATTCAGGACAGAAAGAATGCTCAAAAAGCAAAAAAAAAAAGGGCCTCCCCTGGTGGTGCAGGTGGTTGAGCGCTGCACTGTGAAGCTGTCCGCAGCCTCTGCAGCGCCTGTTCCCACATGGCGTGGCAGACCTCTCCTGTCACGCCCGCTGCTCCCCTCAGCAGTGTGTTTCGTTAGTCTGCCTGTTCTGTTCCCCGCTCTGTCTCTCTTGAATCCTCTCACCCTCCCGCGCATCTGGCTTGTACCCTGGTTCTTGTATAAATAAATAAATAAATCTTTAAAAAAAAAAAAAAAAAAAAAACCTGGTATTCTGGATTTCACAGGAGATAGAAAGAAACATCTAATAATCAGTGACCTATTTCTTTTGATGAAACATGCATATCATGCTCAAATAAGGCTCACATTAGCCCAAAGAACATCAGAGGCTCCACGACCAACTAAGCAGTTAGGAAGGCAGGATCAAAGATGATTAATATGATGAATTCCACTGATCGGGAAGATACCATGAGGGAGGAAAAAAACACCTTCCTCCAAGCCCATTTTAAAAAATGGAAAAAATTTCATACATGTCTATACGTTTTAAAAGAGAGAATTCAGTTCTTTGAATGAGTGACGATTCTATAATCAAAATAACAATGAAATGTGTTATGCATTCAAATATGGTACAAAGGAAAGGCATTCCTCTACCATCTATAAGCACAGTAAGAGTACATTATAGTTTTAATGGTGCTTGAGCACTTGTCAGGATTTTAGCAAATGCCTTTAGTTTGTCAGAATCGCCTCTTTGCACGCATGTGCGAGTGTGTGTGTTCCTAGACTCCATACTAACCCATTTCAGAATCTCCAGGTGGCTGACAAAACTACATCTTCTAAAGCTCTTCAAGGCCTCCCTGGTGCCTCGGGGGTCAGGCTCAGCACCATCACCACCACAGCCTGAATTCAATCCCCGGGCAGGGAGCTCACCCACATGGCACAGCAGACGGCTCCTGTCTCACCAGCTGCTCCCCTCAGCAGTGTACTTCAGTAGATCTGCCTGTTCTGCTCCCCATTGTCTCTGCTGAATCCTCTCACCACCCACACCTCTGGCCTACACCCTAGTTCCTGTATGCATAAATAAATAAAATAAATCTTTAAAGTTCTTCAGATGATTCTGCTAGATACCAGGTTTTGAGGACATCTGCCTTAAAGGATAAAACTAAGACAATTTTCACTGTCATATTTTGACTCATTCTCACTTTTTGTGCAAAATACATCTGGAAGTACTCATCTCACCCCATCATTGAGACCACTCAATATGTCAACCTAAACAGGTGTTGGCCAAAAGAAGCTCTTGCTTCTTTGTCATTATATCACATTCAAGGAATCAGAGAAACCCTAAATAGGCGTGCTTTTCCAGAGAGAAAATGTTGACATTTTGCTACTTAAGTTCTTCCTTCATTGTAATTTACTGGTACTAAGCTGTACTTTCATCATCCCAAGAGGAATTCTGGAATCTGGCAAGAGCATAGTAACATCTTAAGGCAAAAATCGTTTATAAATAATAGGAACCACATTCTGTGGTGAATGGGGCAATGTGGGACAGATGAGACACAGACTTTGAGATCTCAAGGAGTGTGCCAAATATTTTCCTATCCACAACAAGAAAACTAAAACTAGCATTTATTGTTCAATCTCTGTCAAACCCTAATTTTGTGACATCATGTGTATTTACTCTTTATTCTAGCCCAGTACAATTAACTCCACCGTCTTTTTTGGATTGTGAAGAGAAAAGAAAAAAATGTCCATGAGGGATTTGAGTGTAGTGCTTTGCAAATATTCACCACTAATACGTGCTCTCAGCTCATTCTGCACACAACTAGCTCTCCAGACAGCTCTGGTCCCATGATTCCCCGTGGGAAATAATGGATAAAACAGCCAATTGTGTTCTTCCCAAGGGCACTTTATATACCCACAGAAATGATTCAAGAATTTGGATTTTTATTTGCAACATTCAGACAATCTCTTGCAGTCCTGGGAGAACACTTCAGGCAGGGAGATTGGCAGGAAAAGAGATTTTTTGAAAGAAAAAAACCTACCTAAATACCTTAGAGAACACAAAAAGAAAGCTGGAGAAGCATTATGTTCCTCATTGATTAGAATGATTTTCCATCCAAATCTTCAATGGAAAGTAGAGAAATTTTTCAGGATAATGTGATCAAAAATATATCTCATATTTCTTATTCAACTCAGATTATCCCAAATGTTCTGTACTACTGAAAACATGCATGCATCTTCAGTAATCTCCTTTTCTGAATTTTATTAGTTTATTTTTTTCTTTTTATTAGGCAAATATTCCATGTTAAATATCTTAGATTTTAAGCAGCCAGAAAATCAGTAACCTCAAAGATTCCACACCTGCTTCTACCACAATCAGTATTTAGATTCTGTACCCACCACAACTGTCAGCACATCTAAATAGTTCCTAAAATAATAAAACATGTATAATGAATGTTGTGGAAAAATATTTCCTGAATTAAATGTAAACACAAATGTCAGTTATAGAGTTAGGGAGCACATTCATATATCAGAAGCTGTAATAAAGACACAAGGTGAAAAGTAAAAGAAATACAGCTGTTGATACACATCTGGAATAGCCCTGTGAGCATTATGTAATCTCTCTGCATGACAGTCTTGGCTCAATATTAAAGGACGATGATGTAGTGTCACATTTCTTGAAGCATTTGAGTGTGGACAATTGCAAACTCACATATCCAACAGTATGACTTCTATTTTGAGGATGAAAGGGTTTCTGGATTGCTCTGCTGTTGGCATTTTGTTTGTAAGGAGTTTAGAAGAGATGACAAAGTATAAAAATTTCCTCTGGTACAATCAATAGCAACAACCTGTCCAGTAGAGAGATACACAATCACAAAGGTTATTTTAAATTTCCTAGTAGTCACATTAGAAAAATAAAAAGATACAAATGAAATCAAACTCAATAGTATGCTCTCTTTAATTCAACACATTCAAAACATTATTTCAACATGTAACCAACATAAAAATAATTATTAATGCAAGAGTTTACTTTTTCTTACAGGGTCACTGAAATCCTGTAGACATTCAGCTAGCCATAGCCACATTTCAATGTGCGAAGCTCACACAGCTATTGGCCACTATACAAATAGAACATACAAAGAGTCTTTCTATCATCTCAGGAAGTTCTAGTGGGCAGTGTTGACCTAGGGTATTAGGAACTTAAAAACCAGAAATAATTCCCATTGTTAGAGAGTTGGTCTGTGGACCTGCAGTCAGAACCACTCAGGTGTCTTCCTATATGCTCAGGTGTCTTCTCTGGGGTTAATGATTCCATTTAGAAAAGCCCAAAGTCTCCCAACTATAACATGAACATCAAAGAAATTAAAGGGTTTGAAAATGATGATTTCCAAGGCAAGTCCCATTCAGTTCTCATAGCCTCTCAGGTAACTATTACAGAAGCTGCATGAACAATATTACCTGACCTTAAAAGGAAAGTCTTGTTTCAAACTGACTATATACATAGCATTGCTTTTCTCTGTATCTACATCATACCTTATGAGGGACGCACAAACTGTTAGAACTTGGCTTTCTCTTTCGCTGTTTATCAGTGTTTTCTCCAGCAGGGACAGGCACAGAGCCCAGGAGACATTCTGCCCTGGAGTATGTCCAGGAGTCCCCCTGCAGCACACTGCTCTCACTCAGAAGTTCAAGTGCAAACCCAGCAGCCTCTTCCTCCCCTCTCCTTAAGTAAAGTTGCTAAAATAAATGACTCTTTGTAAGATGCCATAATAAGAGGAAAATATATGGTTAAACCATTTAATAAAGCACAAATTTACTGATACTACCCCACTGTGGGTATGTGAATTGGTGAATTCAAATATATACATTCATCAATGTATAAAGACTGCCAGCTACCCCACCTGTCATTTCTACTCAGTGAGCATATGGGCTTCAGAAAGAGCAAATGGTCTCATTTCCCTCTACATTTGAACATCTTTTTGCTACGAATATCATCTGGTCTTTTAAACAAAATATTTGTCATATGTATAGCTCCTAAACTCAGCTGTGTGCTTTACTGCCTAAGTAAGGGATGAGTCAAAGATATTTTGACAATATTCACTTTCTGCCTCAAGAGTTGATTACACATCCTACCTCCTGAGTGTATGGGCAAATTTTATTTAGTGAGTTTATCCAAGATGACTTATTGATGCTGACATTGTAATAGGGAATAAAAAAGCATGTACATAAACGACTATAAAACTAGACTGGAAACCATAATAGATGTTAGATAGTTAAAACAAAATATGAAAGTTCCCCAGATAAAGTAACATTTCCACCAGTTCTAGAGAAGACTTCTTAGAGAAAGTGGCATTTAAGACAGGCCTTCAAAGAGAAGATTTCAAAGAACCGGATGGGACAGAACAACTTTATACCCTGAAGGAATTCACACAAATAAATGCACGAATGCATGAAAATGAAAAATAACAGTAGGTGCTAAAGAAATAGACAGTAGGCTTCCAGTTCAGCCAACATGCAAAAAGCATTTTTAAATAGTGAGGAAATGTGTGTGGGATATATACTTAAGTCCAATCCCAAAAATTAATTGTGGTAGAACAGGCTGTGATTATAGGCCCCAGCGTGCATAACCGTTCACACATCATAGATATTTGCTTTCCATTCATGTAGCAGTTACTTATAGAAATTTCTACCTTAGTGCATGCCATACTTAACATGGTAATTAAGGGCTCAGGCACCACCATCCGTAAGAGCAGGGATGAGCAAATAGGCACAGACTGGTTTCTGCTTCAGTGAGTCAAGAGTGGCTTTTACCTTTTTTAAGGGCTATTAAAAAATTAATATGAAAATAACTTTAAAGGTTTTTATTGACAGAGGCCATCCCAAAAAAGTCACAAATATTTGCTCTCTGAGCCTTTCCAAATAAAAAGATTGCAAGTCCTGCCATAGGCTCCATTGACTACTGTGGGCAGCAGGACAAAGAGATACAGTAGATGGGAAGGTCTCAGAATTCTTTAATAAAGCTTTGCCCAAAAAAGGGCACACATCACTTCTACTCTACTTCTACTGACTATTTATTTCATGTGAGTACTTTTTTTAAAGATTTATTTATTTATGTATACAAAAACTAGGGTACAGGCCAGAGGTGGGGGGATTGTGAGAGGATTCACAAGAGACAGAGTGGGGAGCAGAACAGGCAGGTTGACTGAAATACACTGCTGAGGGGAGCAGCAGGCAAGACAGGAGAGGTCTGCTGTGCCATGTGGGTAGCTCCCTGGCCGGGGATCAAACTCGTGCTGCAGTGGGGGCGGGTAGCTTCGGGTAGCTTCATAGGTTGTGTCTTAACTCCTTGCACCACCACAGAGGCCCTGACATGAGTAATCTTAATTGCAAAAAAGGCTGGGAATGTAGTCTGGCTGGGTGTCTAGGGAAAGAGCAAACAGGTTTTTGGTGTACAGCTAGCAACCTCTAGACACCCTGTTAAGGTGGTTAAATTTTCTTCCAAAGACAATGAGGAATTGTGAGAATATTTTGAATACAGCACTGACAAGATAAAATTATTTAAGAATATCTCCTTACTAGAGCAGTAATAAGCGGTTAGCTAAGGAAGCAAAACTCAGGTATTCTCAAGTCAGTGAGGCATGAACAAACTAAGTGCACCTAACTAATGGCACAGACCAATTTTTTAAAACTACTTATTTGTCAAATAAACTTTACTACAAAGTAATTAGCATAGTGACATTTACTCCCCAAAGAACACAGACTATAGAGAATAAAAAGAGGTTAAAAGGATTTACAATAATAGAGTTTTTTCAATGGGTTGGTATATAAATGATATCAATAATACATTATAGACTCAAAGATAAATTTCCTTCAGTATATAAAAGAGCTGACACCAGTAGAAACACAAGGACCAAACAGCGAATTGGAAGTTCAGGATCAATACTGCTCTTCACCATTTTGTGAAATAAACAGTCTTTGAAATCAGAATGACCCAAGCTCTAATTTCTACTCTGAGACTAGTTGTATGCCTTTGACAAAATGATTTAGTGACTGTGTGCTCAGTTTCATCATCTGTAAAATGGAGTTTAAAAAAAAAAGCTTTCTTAGAAACTGTCACAAGGATTTATAAAAACATTCATTAAACTGCTGGGCCTCCCCTGGTGGTGCAGGCAGTTGAGCGCCGCGTTGTGAAGCCGTCCGCAGCCTCTGCAGCGCTGGTTCAATCCCGGCTGGCCGGGGAGGGTGCAGCAGACCGCTCCTGTCACACCCGCTGCTCCCCTCAACAGTGTATTTAGTCAGTCTGCCTGTTCTGTTCCCCGCTCTGTCCCCGTGAATCTGGCCTGTACCCCAGTTCTTGTTTAAATAAATAATCTTAAAAAAAAAAAAACTGTTGACCCAGTTCTGGTACAGAATAAGCCCTCAACAGATTTTAACTACCATCATTATTACTATCATTAACGTGCCCATCTAAGGCCTCTTTTGAATAAAAACAAAGTTATTTGTATCTTAAAATAGCTTGCCAATAACACATAATTTACAAACACATTAAAATAGGTGGTTACATCTTGCTTTTTCATTTCAAATTTATAAGAGAAGTAGACACTCAAAAGGCAGTTTCTTTAATTAAAAGAATCTGATGTTCAATTCACAAACAAGGTTTTAGAGCCATTAAATTGGATCTTGTCCATTCTTCATACACTTTGTGGTATTCCAAACATGCTTTACCTTAGCACCCAGTGCTTCCTGGATGAAGATTACTGGTAGGGTCATTTTCCATCATGAGACACTTGTATCAGTCACATAAGTCATCATTTAGCCAGGACAGGAGATAAATGGTAATGCATATGAAACAAAATTATTCTGTGACCTTCTTCTGAGGTGTTTTTTCCATGACAAAATCAATGATCAACTTATTAAAAAGATTATATATTATGAACTTCATAACTGAGGTACACAGTAAGCATGCTGTAAAGATTTGTTACTGTTTAATAAATTAAGAGTAAACATGGGCCCAAGGTTTATGAGTCATTATATTTAAGGCATTCTGAAGTCTGCCTTAATGTAAAGATGATTTCCACCTTTTTGAGGTCGCCTCAAAAGCAGGCCTGAGACATGAATTTGAATGCATGTGTTTAATTTCAAGAAACACAAATGAAGTAAAATGGGGACAGGGGGAAGCAAATGAGCCATATTTCAATGAGCAGGCAACAAGAGCTCAGTACTGCTGGAACTTCTGGGGAACCTGTAGAACATGCCTGAGAGTTGTTCTACCAGAGAGGTGAGTAAAAGGAGCATTTACCCTTCAGGTCCCATTTGCCATAGGTTGAGGCTGATACCCTAGGGTTTTAATACCTTGAGACTTTAGCCAGCCCATGTAGGCAAATAACATTCCCATAGCCATAGAAACGCCCCTAGTGCCAGCAAGTTAGGGTGAGGCACCAATGATGCCTGCTAAAATACCCAAGGAGAAGATGTATTAATTTTCAAAGATAAAATGAGCCAAGTAGTGTTATCATTACTGGGATATAAACCAAGAGGAAATCTTTTTCACCTATTCTGAATACCATAAATTCTGATGGTCTATTATATTAGTCAGGGTTCTCCAGAGAAACAGAAGCAATGGATGAGTGAATAGATACAGACATTGATATAGACATGGATTTACTGTAAGGAACTGGCTCACGTAATTATGTTATGGAGGTTGGCAAGTCCTTCAGGGTATGTCAGCAAAGCAGAGCTCCGAAAGAGTCAATAATAATTCCTGTCTGAAGGCTAGCAGGCAAGACTCAGGAGGAGCTAATGTTTCAGTTCAAGTCCAAAGAGAAAAAGGTAATGTCCCAGTTCAAAGGCATAGAACAAAAATTCCCCCTCATAGGGGAACAGTGACAGTTTTTCCTCTGTTCAGGCCTTCAACTGATTAGATGAGGCCTACCCACATTAGGGAAGGCAATCTACTTTACTTGGTCTACTGATTTAAATGCCAATCTCATCCAGAAACATCCAGTATAACAATTGACCAAATAGTTGAGCATCCCAGGCCAAGTATAGTTGACATATAAAATTAACTATCACACTCATTTAGTGAATATAGCAATTAGTATTTTTTCAAAGAACTCAAACTATTTAAATTTTTTTCATTTTTCACAATATGGAAAAACAAAGCAGAGAATGTTCCAACTAATGGCCATTTGTGAAATACACTGTGACAGCAGCTGTATTTTGAGCACAAATGTTTCTGTTGGTCACATACTCAGCTCAATTGGTCTGTAGGGTCAGCTGTCACAGAGCTGCAGTCAAGGGTGCTCATTTCAAGGAAGTCTGGATGAAGCACAATGTGAAGAAAGGTCAAGGTATACACATCCTTTTCTTACTACATGACAGGAAGACTTCCTTAAAGAAGCAAGACATATGGAATCCAACCTGCTTTCTAGATAAAGCCATTTCAGAATTAGTAGCCTAAACAACCCATAAATTTTAGCCCTTAAAAACACATAACGAGACATCCAAATTTAGTTAATAGCTAATGTTTTTATTACTTGTCACCGATTAGATTTTATTTCTCTAAATTTTAATTGCCCATGATCCCATCTGATTAAAATTGAAAAGGTCAAAGGAATCATGAAATCCTCACTTTCAAGTCTGTGCTTACTGGAAATCAAAATGAGTGAGTAGTTGTTTCTCTGCTCAGGATATAAGCATGTCAGAAATCACAATATCTCATTAAGGACTTTACTAGCCACATATGATAAACATATTGCATATAATTTGTTTGTTCTTTAAATAATGAAAATTAGTACATTTGGGATGCAAATTATATTTTGCCAAAAAAAAGAGATGAAAGGTTTTTGGGTTTGATTATTTTGTTTTGTTTTCTGGGGGGGAGAAAAGAAGGGTGGGTTGCTAATGGTTTATAAAAAATTGCTATTTTTTTTTCACCTAAATGTTAGATAAGAAATTGGTCAGGAACTCTTCCCAAAGTAAACAATATGTCACTATTCATTTACCCAGTTCCTAATGGTGTTGGACTTTTAGAGTATTTCCAATTTTTCACTATTAGATATAGCCTGTAATATTATTTATGCAAATAAATCTTTATAAATTTCTGTTTATTTCCTTGCACCGCACTATAAGCAGAATTGTAGAAGTATTAACAGGTTTCACTTTTTTTATTGGTTCTTTAAATTTCTCACATTATGAATTATTTAACTTATGTAAATTATTTGTTCATATCCCTAACCTATTTTTCTAACAAGGTATTTGTCTTTTCCCATTTATAAAGTTCTTTATATATTAAGTATAAGAAGTTGATTTTATTTTTATTTTCTGGGTTATGTAACAACAAATCAGAGTCCCTCCCAGTTACTGATGAAAGCACAGAAAGTACATTGTTACAATCACAAATAAGTCCTAAATTCAGAGCCCTCAATTCCTTTCCAAGGCCTTCCATTCCTCCTCAAAGCAAGCACCAGAGCTCTAAGATAATGTTTTGCTAATGGTGATTCTTCAAGACCTGCACCAATACTTCCTAGGAATCTTATTTTAAAACATAGATTCTTCAGCACTAAGGCAAACCTACTGAGTCAAAATTGCAGGGAATGGAGCAGGCTGAGAATTTGATTCTTTGACAAGTTCTCCAGATGAATTTTTTGCACAATAAAATCCTGGAAATGCAGCTAGTAGAAGGGAAAATAGAACTAACTCTCAGAATTTCAAGACCATTAACATTGGGTCCACTATCAACTGTAGCAGGGCCTGTAATATTGTCCTGCTCTAGAACCATTAACCTGTGGATTTTCTTAGAGTCCATTGAGTAAACCAGGGATGGCATTATATAAAGATAAAACATTATATTATACAAACCATCTCTCTAGCTAGAGATGTAGATATACAAATCTTCACACAGAAAGACCATGTAGAACATGCCAAGGAAGAAATGTATCTCTGACTTAAAAATTAAATCACTCCTGCAAATTACTCCAGGGTCTGTGAATAGCTAGAACAAAATACCATTTTCCTCATAATACAATGTACCAAAAATTATTTTTAATTAAAAAAAAACAGATATATTTCATGCCTGACTCACATTTTCATGTCTCACTACTTTGCTGTGGTAACACCTGACAATGCTCCTTCTGCCCAGAACTTAGCTGTGCTGGATGCCTGCCAGAGGCTGCCAAGTGGAGGTTGAAAAACACAGGAGAGTTAACACCCCAGATAGGTGGATCTTCAAGTGCTATGCTTAGAATAACTGCCTCAGCATCACTTTAAAACTTGCTACAAATGCAAATTCTCTGGCCCTCTCCCAGATCTACTGAATCAGATACTCCGGGGGGGGGGGGGGGAGTCAGCAATCTGTTTGCAAAAGTTTTCCAGATGCTTCTGATGGACATTAAAGGTGGAGTGTAGGGCCTCGCTGGTGACGCAAAGGGTTAAGATGCAACCTATGAAGCTGTCCTCAGCCACTGCAGCACGAGTTTGATCCCCAGCCAGGGAGCTACCCACATGGTGCAGCAGACCTCTCCTGTCTCACCTGCTGCTCCCCTCAGCAGTGTATTTCAGTCAGTCCACCTGTTCTGTTCCCCACTCTGTCTCTGGTGAGTCCTCTCACCCCCCACACCTCTGGCCTGTGCCCCAGTTCTTGTATGCATAAATAAATAAAAATCTTTAAAAAAAAAAGTTGGAGAGTAGATGCACAGTCACCCGGAGAAAGGTCAAAAAACAGTGCTGGGCTCTCTCTTGGGGTTTCTTACCCAGTAGTTCTAGGGTGGTGTCAAAAAACCTGCATTTCCAACAGATTCCCAGGTGATACCCATGTTCCCAAGACCTAAGTAAACTCACCTAGGTAAACTCTCGATCAAAGTAGAACAGAGCAGGTAGGTAAAGGATTCTGTCTTCTATGTCTTGGTGGAAAATCCAGAAATTCCTACCAGATAAAGTTGAGTTCAGGTTACCCCCAGCAATAACCAGTTTAATCATATACCTTGCTTTGGCCTCATGTCTGTGTTTCACTTTTCTAAGCCCCTTGCTCCAATTCCACTTCCAAAAATAATAAGCCTCTATGAGTGCCTATCTCATATCGTACTTTCGTGAAGAAACCCATGCTAAACAGCGACTAGTCCATAAACTTCAGTACACAAGTTTATTACCCCATAGATTTCCATCTTTCTTGCAATATCCTAATCCTTAGTGTGCAACTGGCTCCCCTTGTTTCAACAAGTGCCCACATTTGTTTCCTTTGCTTTTTTCCTAATGCTCACTATGGATATCCCAATTCCACTAGACTCACCATAATTATGCCTTCAGAGTACTCTTTCTGTTTTCATTCCTAAATAAACACCTTTTAGCCCAAATATACCTCTATATTCATGTCAATACCAATATCCATCAATCAACCATACCAATATCCATGGCAGGTAAAGTGCTACCAGAATATAACCCAGTGACATGTCCTCTGGAGATTATAACAGAAGACGACTCCTTTTGCCCAGTGAGGCTGCTGATTAAGAAGAAAACAAGACCTTTATACCTTTCCACTGTGAGTTCACTCTCCCCAGAATGTCCCTGCCCCTAGAATTCCTACTGTAAAAGAGTCCTCTGGAGCCATGTTGGGGGGGAAGGGGGGGTTTGCACTTAATTATACTAAGGCTTTCTATGACCAAGGAAAAAATGCACCAGGAATGTCAAAAGGAAACCAAAAGGAAGATAAGTTGCCACAGCTAAGAAAATCAAGAAGTATTTCTCCTACCAGGGCTGCTCAGAACATTTTTATAACCTGCTTTAAAATCGTTGAGAAGGATCAGAAAGAATTCTTTCTACCTCTGGCCAGAATGTTTTTAGTAAACACAGTTTAGTGAAAGAAATAAGATGAATCAAAAATGTCTGTGACAAGACAAAAAATAGTGAAAACTACCATCTGTTGGTTGTTGTTATCACTGTTGCTATAGCAAGAAGAGACTGTTATAAAACAAAAGCCTGGTTGCAAGGGAGGGGAAGGTTGAATTAGACCAGGGGAGAGTACAACAGGGAGGAGACCTCTGGATCCCCAGTACTTAGTAATTTATAGGTTCCTGACGTGAAATAAGTCATCTTACCTTTGACTGTGGCTTTTGCCTAACTCATTTATTACAACAAATGACTGGAAACCCAGAGCATTTGATTTATTTATCTATCAACTTGCTCAAGCCCAGAACTAACCCAGAGAGAAAACAGGGATAAGAAAACCATCTATCATTTTGAATTAAACACTTGTTACCAAATCATGAAAATTTGTCCTTTATCCAACCTGTGTCCCAGATCAATAATAAAAGGTCATGCCTTGGGAACAAGGTGACTTCAAACTTTCAACTAAATCACTAGCCTTCAGTGAACTTGGACTGCAACCTTCAAAGACAACAGGGAGTAGAGTTTGGCAGCAAATGATCCAATAATCTTAATGCTGATGTGAAAATTATGTTGCTTCATATAAAACATAATTCCCCTGTGAATATTTCAAGTTTTGTTTTGATTCTGGCTTTCAATACTTACTGATAAGTATGAGGAAAGAGACATTTTCAGACTTTTTATTACCGTATTGCCTATTACCGCTTCAGTGTTTAAAAAATCTGCTCATTGCAAGGAGGGTACAGTCAATCTGTGCATATTGGATTTAATTTTCTGCTAGGCAAATAAAAAATGTGTAAAAGCAATTTACAGATTTCTCTCTTTTTCCAAATATTGTATGTGTACTTTGATTTCTAGTGCCATCTGACTGACCACATGATGAAAGGTTTTCATTTTGTATTTCCAAAATACATACAAACACATTAAGTGAAAGAAATGTTAAGTCATAAACTATATAGAAAAGAAAATCTTCCAATCATAACCCAGTGATTTTTATACAACCAATATGTCCCTGGCCTCATCAGCTGATGATTACAAAATAAAGTCACACTTTGTTGTTCTTTTTTTTAATTGAGTTAATATTGTTTGCATTATTATTTGTATTTTAGAGAAACAGGATCTCCCCCTTCTGGTGTTTTTACTACACCACACCTACCACCAAAGTGCCACAGTTCATCTCCAAATCCACTGTCCTCCCTCCCCACTTTTTTTTCATCCCATCTCCTTCCTCTTCCACTCTGATAACCTCAGTTCTATATTCAGCTTTCTAGGGGTTGTGTTAATTTGACTTTACCTAACACTTTTTTGGGAATCTCACACCATACACAAAAGCCAACTCAAAAGACTGGGATGTAAGATCTGAGCCCTTAAAATACACAGAAGAAAACATAGGCAAAAGACTTCACAACACAGGCTTCTGAGATGTCTTTGTGGGTTCATTTCCAACAGCAAGAATAACAAAAGAGAATACAAGCAACTGGGCCTACATCAAACTAAAAAGCTCCTGTACAGTGAAAGAAACTATCAGTAAAACAGTAAGACACTCTACTGATTGGGATAAAATATTTGGACACCATACATCCGACAAGGGATTGACATCCAAGAGCTACAATGACTCACACTTTCTTCGGTATACCCAAACTACTACTCCGAAGTCCTTTCGTAATCACCAGAATTGGCTACCACTTACATCCCTGCTGCAGTATTTGAGAATGTCCCAGGATGCTGTGTACCTGTGCACTCAGGACAAGCCCCCACACTGGTTCACACCTTCTGGTGTCTTTGTCATTCAACCTCTATGGCCCATGACCAGAAAGATATATTCCCATAACTCACACAACATAGCCATCCTCAGCCCTGTACGGCTGCTGCCCCCAGGCTTATCCGAAGGAAGTCTGATCCTTCTGTCTTGTTCCACAGCATAGACAGGCAAAGGTCTCTGTTGAATTTCCCAAAACATCAACAATCTGTAAATAAAGCAAGCTCACTGCAGTAAGGGAGAATGCCACCTTAACACAGGCTCAGTAATACCTTAGAAGGGGGAAATCAAAGCTAGGGTAATTATAGGGATTTAGGGTCAACTAAATTATAGAGTTTGGGGTCCAACTGGGTTAAAGTCTGTGTTTTGAGATGAGGAGCTGATTAGGAGTGGGCAAAGTCTGTAACATAACAGTTCAGGCAGAAACAGAAGTGAGAGCCTGGGAGCAAATCAGGATCAGTAAATTGTTTGATTAGCAAGCTGTTTGCCCAGGTAAGCAGACTACAAGTTCTGATAAATTGATCAGTGAGAATTTCTTGAGGTAAACAGTGAGGTTATTTATTGTTGTACAGTGTTATCTTTCCCAGGCAAGGTTTTTCTGGAATAAATAACTAAATCATGTTAATATAGGTAAACTGGAGTCTTCTATATCTTGTAGACACACAAGGGTTCATTTTTATCACCCCCTATCTAGACCTCATCCCTATTCTAGATCTTCCTCACCTGGACACAGGCAGGTCATTTTCTCCCATCGAGGCCTTTTAGAAACTCAGAATTAGCCCAATTCACTCTCAATCTTATTAGGGGGAAAAAGGAAATAAAGAAAGGATACTTTCCCTTCTTTCTCTTCCAGAGAAAGGGGAGACCCCACTTCTAACAAAGGTCAAACTTGAGATTGCTGGTAAAGAAATTCCCTATAGGCTAACCCAACCTTGTCCACATTTATCCACATGTATAAATTAACTCAACTGCCACCAATGCTCTAATCTTGGGAGCTTCAATGGGAACAGGAAAGATTTTCAAAAGTTATAACCTCAGTGATATTTCAAGGAGCTACATCCCACACACCCCACCCCCACCCCAGAGGAAATAAGTTGTCTTGTGACCATGTCTATCTCAATTGAAAACCAGACACACTGAGTAATACAATTTTATATGGTGACAACTAACATCCCCACAGCATTTCAGATTCCAAATGTTAATTAGTAGAGGCTCACTGCAACCCAGGGGTACTTTCACAACATGATTTATTCAGATCTAATCCATTCCCATAAATGTGTTCGACAGTATATTTTCAGACAGTAGGAGATTCTATTCTGTTACTTTATTTTTTATATTATTTTATTTTATATATTTTACATCATTTTTTATTTTTGCACAATATATGCATTTTCATCTTGATTATATTACCCATACCATTCCCACCCCCCTTATCTTGACCCTAATCCCACTTCTCTTCCCCTCCCCCAGAGTGTGTCTCTGGTTTATAGTTGCTTGTTGATTTTGATTTTTACTTTATTATAATTAGTCTTTTTACTGGTCCCTTATTTAGGTTTTCTAAATTCCTGCTATGAGTGAGACCATCTGGTATTTTTCTTTTTCTTTCTGGCTTATTTTGTTGAGCATGATCCCTTCCTGCTCCATCCATGTTGCTGCAAATTGCATGAGCTTGTCTTTTTTGATTGCTGAGTAATATTCCATTGTGTACATGTACCACATCTTCTTGATCCAGTCATCTATTTTTGGGCATTTGGGTTGTTTCCACAGCTTAGCTATTGTAAATAGTACTGCTATAAACATAGGGGTGCAGGTGCCCTTTGGAATTAATGATTCTGTGTCCTCTGGGTAAATATCTAGGAGTGGAATTGCTAGATCATATGGAGCTCCATCTTTAGCAGGTTGAGGTATCTCCACACAGCTTTCCATAGTGGCTGGATCCGTTTGCACTCCCACCAGCAGTGCAGGAGAGTTCCTTTTTCACCACATCCTTGCAAACATTTATTGTTGCTAGTTTTCTCACTGGTGTAAGACAGTTATTGAAACAAAAAAAAAAAAACTAATAAAAGAGGTAAAGGATCTATACAAAGAAAACTATGAAACACTGTTAAAAAAAAATAGAATAAGACACAAAGAAATGGAAAGACATCTCCTGCTCATAGATTGGAAGAATTAGCATTATCAAAATGGACATCCTATCAAAAGCAATTTACAAATTCAATGATATTCCAATAAAAATTTCAATGACATTCTTCAAAGAAATAGAAAAAATATTGATGAAATTCATATGGAGCCACCAAAAACCCCAAATAGCCAAAGCTCTCCTGGAAAAAAAAAAGAAGGGAATGGAGGCATCACATGCCCAGATTTCAAACTATACCACAAAGCCATAATACTCAAAACTGCATGGTATTGGAACAAGAAAAGACACATGGACCAATGGAACTGAACAGAAAATCCAGAAATAAACCCACAGATTTATGGTCAACTAATCTTTGACAAAGGAGCAAAGAATACACACTGGAGCAAAAAAGTTTGTTCAATAATTGGTGTTGGTAAAACTGGGTTGCTACATGCAAAAGAATGAAGCTTGACTACTACCTCACACCATGCACAAAAACCCACTCAAAATGGATTAAAGAACTAGGCATAAGACCTGAAACCATAAG